CACACGCTCGGAAAATGCAAGGCGGGAAGGGATGGGACAACCAGCAGGGAACACCCGGCCAGGACCAAGAACACACTTCCCAGGCAAGGGAATAGCCTCCAGGAGGAGAAATCCCAAGAGGGAATCCCGAGCCCCATTCCCTGCCCTCCATCTTGTGGCTCAGGGACAAAGTGGGAACCTTGCACCCGCACGCTCTGTCCTCACCTCTAGCTAATAACAGAACAGCCGGAGCTGTGAGGTTCCTCTCCAGCTCCAAGTGGCTAATTTGATTTTCTGTGCCCATAGCCACTGCTGCCAGCTATTTCCCGAGGCATGGAAACCAGGAAGGTTTGTTAACCTGGGAAGACACAGCCTGCGCGGTTGCAAATCAGAGGGTAATTCTAGGCCATTTTCTGCAAACTGCTGCTTTGGAAAATATTTTGACAATATTCACCAGCAAGAACACTCCCTGCTCCTCATCATAAATAGCAGGCTAATCTGCTGCCTGCACGGAGATTTGATTATCACCATTGATTGTAACCCACAAAAAATGCAATAAAAATAGACGCAACTGGTGAGGTTGGCAGAGCTGACGTGGGAAGCCAGGTTCCAGGCAGCAGATTCATTTCAGATCCCATTTATACCCAACCCTAGCAAACTTGGGGCAGATGTTTCCTCTATAATATACTTATTCCTTGATTTTACCATAGTGCTTAAAGGCCTGAGCAGACCTGAGGCCTCAGAGCACCGTTCTTTTTATTTCCCCGGGGAGCAGAGTGAGCTGTGGTGCTTCTTGGCCAAGGAGAACAGCTTCAGAGCCAAGGCAATCAATTCTCCAGCTTGGCAGGAGAACCCGAGGGCTGGCAGGGGACGTCAGGGATAATCTTCTCCCTGCAGGGACCTCCCCTCTGCAGTTTGGGGGTTCAGAGATGCAGCAAGGGCTGGAAACACAAAGTTTCACTCGGTTTCCAGAGCATCTGCAAACTCCTGCCACAGGAGTCACTGATCTTGGCCACAGTCTTTCACCTGCATCAGAGTAAGCAGCCGTCTCAATCCTCTTTTGGAGATGAAACCCACTAAATCCAAGAAATCCTGCAAAAAAAACGACCCATGCTTGGTGTGAGAAGAATAACTGCCTAGTAATTCCCAGGATGGCACACAGCAATTCATGGGATTGCAGCTTGCAAGGCAGGGACAAGCCACAGTCCTACTCTGCCATGCGCTAGAGACAAAGATGACAGTTTTAGAGTATCTTTATTGCAAAAGACCTTTTACTAGCAGGTTTCCAAGTGATTTGAGATCTCTGCCGCGTGCAACTACCTGCAGGATGGGACAAAGCAGCTGCGTGTCACCGCAAGGTGAAGCAAACACTTGCCAACTAAAATAAAACCTTCCAGCAAAGCTGCAACAGGGACCTAAGGAAGCAAAGGGAATCATCAGAGCTAAGACATGCAAGATGACATGTACGAAATATGGAAGTAGGGGTCAGCTCAGGACCTCCAGGGATGGCCCTGGTGATTAATGTCATTCCTAGAGCAACCAAGCAGGCAAAAAGAGCGGGAGAAGGACCAAGTAGGAGAGTGCAGGCTCAGGACAACGTCCCCAGGCTCTGCTCAACCTTAGGCTCAGGGTACCAGGCCAGTCACAGCTCTACCCCCATCACATCAAAGGGCGCTCAGCTCCATGGAAGTCATCCCGAAGGAATGTAGGATCTTTGCAGTGTGTTTAAGATAAACAGAGCAAAGTCACACTGCAGGGCGAAGATTAGCCAGAAGCAGGTCTGGGGTGGTGCACAGAGTCCCCTTCCCTCCTCCACTTTCCTCTTCCACCCCACACCAGATTGAGATTCCATGACAGTTTGCTAAGCAAATTGAATCTCTGAGCTACGGCCATAAACCCATGAGACACTTTGCAAGAAAAGGAGAGGAGAAGACAGACCCCCCTAATCCTCTCAAGACAGGGGTGTCAATGCAGTTCTCACTGCCTTCAATTCAAAATAGAGCCAAGAAGAGGAAGGAAAAGGGAAGGACTTCTTGAAGTAGCCTCCTTGCAACCTCCTGCTACAATGATGCATGTCTCCTGTACCCAATTCCTATCAGATTTAATTAGCACTGTACTCTTAGAGCAAACGTACATGGCTTTCCCCAGGAGATTCAAAGTCCATGCAGCTCTCCATAGCTAGCAAAGCAATCCCAGCCACAGCAAATGCCCCAGCATTAATGCAAATCATGCCATGAGCAAAAACAGCTCTGGGTTCTCATTAACCAAGGCTCTAACGAAGCTTTAATCTGAACTTCCTTCCACTCAGACAGCTCAGTGTGGAGTCAGCACACTGCCCCCCCTCACCCCATACCAAAAAAAAAAAGTAATCTTGATTTTCTTAAACTGTAGTTGTGATCAAAGTGAAATATGAGACACACGGGGGAAAGATCTTTTAGGGATTAGTCAGCTGTTGAACTCTTAGAAGCTTGTGAACATGTTGTAAGGGCAGGGAGAAGGCAGAGGAAAAGAATCACCACACCTAGCACAGAGCCTGCGTGCTCAAAAACCCAAATACACAAAAATCCAAGCAGCGACTCCAAGCCTTTATGCAGCACCAGTGCTCAGAAGCACAAATACAGCCAGGATGGGGCTTATCAGGCAAATTATTCCCCCCAGGAAGCCTCATCCAGATGTCTTGAGGAATCAAAGGAAAAAGCTCCCTTCACGCTGAGCCGAGCTGCAGAACCGAGCTAAACTCCAGCAATAACTACAGCTGGCCAAAGCATTTTCAGCACAATTAAATGCAACCAAAACACACTGTTTTCTTAATCTAACCTGAGCTGTTTCACAGAGGTGCCCTGGTTTGAACTCCCCCTTTTAAACTAGGATTTTCCAAGTTGGAATGACAAAAGACAAACATACTCAAAACACTCATGTTTTTCCACTCAATCACCACGATTCTTCCAATTCTCTTTTTAAAAACAAACCCTCGAGTGCTTTTTCAGATAAAACACAGCAGAGAATGGTGTTCCAGGCAACGGTGCCTCGAACCATCCATCAGTAGCTGATGGGAAGCAAGTTCTGGAGCTAAATTTTCAGAATCTGAGATCAGAAATTGTTCCAAGGTGGCAGGAGCCGGTTCTCAGGACAGCTTTGGGTAACCTGGTTTTTGCACAGTCAGTTTGTCCCATGTTTTCCACTGGAAACCTCCTAGCACGCAGCATACACACAACTCAGTGACCAACCTCCAAGAAATGGGAAAAGCAAAAGCAGCTCCATTGGATACAGCAGGAAAGGTGGGTTTAATCAAGGTAAGGGAAACAGCTGCCAAGTTAAATGAGTAAAAAATCACTGCATCCCTCCAGGGCATCCCTTTCTGACCCGCACCCAAGCGAGTGGTCACTGGGAGCTGCCTCCTTGGTCCTTTCTCAACGGAGCAGTCTGGACAAGCCAGCCACCACTTCAGAGGAACAGGGCTCGCCTCACCTGGGAACTGCTCTACGGGCTGTTTTCCAGCCCATTACAGTCCTCGCTCTGCTCAGACCAGCCTGCTGTCCTCCAACCCCAAGGCAGTCCCATATTTCAGCATGTCCATATGGAATCGATGGGGGAAAGGCTCTGTGTCCCTGCCAGCTGCAGTGGTCCCAGCCTCCAGCATCCCCCAGGCTGCAATGAGCATCACATCTATGCAAAAAGAGTTGATTCTTTTCCCACCAAATACAATGAAAACAAATGCATCCCAGGGCTGAGATCTATATAAAAATCAATAGCAGGAAAAACCAGCTGCTTTGTCACCTCTCAGGGGCCAAAAGGGACAGTGGCCATCACCACCAATACAGAACACCCAACTCAGCCCATCCAGGCTCAAATTCAGGCCTGCAATGGCAGCATGCCAAAGGACACAGAAAAATACGTGAAAAGAGTTCTTCCAAGGAGACAAAAAACAAAACAAAAAAAACCCCATCCCACACACTCATCTTTTTCCTTCGCCCACTCCATGCAAGGAAGAACCAAGTTCGATCCCACTCAAGGGCAGTATAAAGTACATACATCCATCCGGAAAACCTCCAGTGACTCTCTTGCAAAAACCTCTCCAGAAACAAGCGCCTCTTGGGAATCACTTTGCTGAACCAGCTCTCTCCCAGCCTTGGGGATCAGGGCTCCGGTCATTTACCTCTCCAGCAACATTTGCAGCTGGAAAAATGGCTTATGGCCTCCCCTCCACATATCCAGAGGGGAGGAAGAAGCCAATCTGCGTGTTTATTTGTTGCCTGTGCAGAATTCCTGCATTCTTTCCCTTGTTTACTCATCTGCTTTTAGGACATGCTGGGACACCAAGGGGCTTTTGGGGCACCACTTTCCCCCACGAGCCCAGAGCTCTTGCTGCAACACAGGACAAGCATGAACGGAGGAAGCAAGAAGCCACGTGGGATGTCACAGAAGATGTTTTCAAGGTGCTTGGGCAAAAAGATGAAATATCAGCTCTTTCCAAATCATTCTCCATAGAGGCTTTATCCCTGCAATCTGCCTGGCTTCTCAGATCCCTGCAGGAGATCCCTTAGGGAAGCAGGCTGGGATTCACCTAGATGAAAGACAGGTTTTCACTGCAGATTAGCCCCCTAATCACTGCAGATTAGCCTGCAGAAAGGCTTAACTCAGGTGTGAGGAGGTTTATTCTTCTGATACTACCAAACACATGTGTTTGGGCAAAACTTTGCAGCAGGGATGCTCAGATCCCCATTTGACTCTTTGCATGGAAGTCTGAGAACCTACATTAGGTCTGAAAAAGGAGTCTGCTTGGCTGTACCTTGGTTGCAACCACTGCCTCTAACATCGAGGTCATTGCCAGGCATTTTCCCCACGATAAGCAAGTTCAGAGAGCGCTATGACTCCTAACCCAGATTTACACAAAACGTCACTGCTGGGATGACCCAGCAATGAATCATTTACAGGGCAGCAGTAAGAGGTGGCCAGGGCTTGGTTGATGTGTCCATGAGCCCTCGGCATCCCCCCGTAAGGACCGAGCCGCCCCAGCTCACCCTCCACGCAGTGCTCGACCTCCTCCAGGTTGCGCAGCGTTATCCGCATGAGGCTGGAGTTCAGCATGAGCTCGTTGCGGTGCGCGGGCCACAGGTACTGCGGAGCGGGGTTCACGAAGAAAATCCGCGTGTCCCCCGTGGACACTTGGTTGTCGCAGATCAGCGGGTCCCCAAAGCCGCCAATCACCACTTTGTTCCCACCATCCAAGAGGATCTCGTGAGTGACGATGTCTTTGCCTTTCAGGTAGCGCCAGACTCTCACCTGGAGCAAGAGGGAGAAGGAGCACGTAAGAACATTTCGCAGCCACAACCGGAGCCCAACAGCATCTTCCAGCCCACTTAATTTCTTTCACCTTGTCACAAGATGCACAGACAACTGGCAAAGCCTTCCAAGAGAACCAACTCCATTGGCCATCCCTTACTAAGTGTCAGCAAGAAGGACCTAAACACATATTACTGGCTTTTAACCCAACTCGCCAATATATTTGCAAATGCAAAGCACCTCCTTCCTCCATGATCTCCCATGGGAGCAAAGGGGTGACAGCCAGTGTGTCCTAAGGGATCACAAGTCATCGCAGGTGTTCAACAACGGACACCCGCTGCTCCTCTCGCCTCCGCTTTGGGTCACGCCATCTTCGGCCCCAGGATTTGTATTTCCTTCCCGTCTCTCCTCTCTGGGTATCAGGCTCCAGCCCTCAGCCCAGTTACTGCTGCTGGAGGCTCAAAAACAGCCTGATAAAGAGCTGTCCCTCTGCAAACCCTGCAAGGCAGGTCCATCCCAAGTGCCCTCTTCCTTGGCTTTCCAGCATCAACATCTCACATTCCCCACCCTTGGCATAAACATGGAGAAGAAGACATTAGGGACTGACCTGAACATCTCACATTCCCCACCCTTGGCATAAGCATGGAGAAAGGCCCCAGTGCAGAAGACATTAGGGACTGACCTGATTAGTCAAAGACTTATTTATCAGCATCTGCTGCCCTTTGTTAGGGCCTCAACAAGGCTCCAGATAAGCTGCTGCTTCTCAGCAAATACTTGTGGGACATTAGGAGGGACATTAAGAGGGACAATGCTGCTGGAGGGAGTGCCCTCGAAATAACAGATCAAGAGGAGCAGAGCACTGTAAAAGGGGGGTAGAGGGTGAAAAAAAAATACAAAAACCCACCTGTGCACCCACACATACCCCAGCTTTGAAGAAGACATGAAATGCAGGATGCCTCCCACCGGGAAGCTGTGCCCATCCATCAGAGAGGCAGCAAGTAGCGAGATGGGAGCCTCAAGAAGGGTAGGAGGTGGCTGGTAGGTTGGAGAAACTCAAGGGAGTCCCCCAGTACCAGTAATTTGGGAGGACAAGAGACACAGTAGATAGAAGGTATTTTTTTGAGCAACTTATGCTTCCTATAAATGACTAAAGAAAACCTTTACTTTAGCTGCCTGGGTCTGCCAAACCACATGTGTGATTTGGAGGAAGAAGGCAGGTTCCCTTCAGTCGCCCTAACTTCAGGGAGGAAAAAAACCCTGTGCACGAGAAGAGAACTCGTCCCATCCTCCCCCGCTCTGCTCCCAATATTCCCGGTTCCTCTCCGGAGGGACTTGCTGCTGGCTCATCCCCCTGCCCAAAAAAGGAGCGATCCGCACAGAACCGCAGGCCAAGCTCTCCCCACGCTCTGCGAGAAGCTGCCCAGAAGAAAGCAGAAACAACCTGCATTGAGCGGATTCTTGCACACAAGGGATGTAAAAAAACCACATTCTCATCTATCCCTGTTGTGTCAAAATCCCATTGCTAGGGTGATCTTATTGCAGGGAACACAGTCCTCAGCTGCATCCCTTCTCCATCAGCTCTGCCGTCCCCGGTACCAAAGAGCACTCGGGTCCTCACCGTGCCAAGCACCAACGCAGTGGGGCAGATCAGCGATAAGGGGCTCTTGATGCCCTATCAGGCACTGGCATTCAGGTATGTGCTTTAAGAACATAATTCCAAGGGAAACAAGTATTAAACACCACTGGGACAGCCTCTCTTTGGAAGCTACACCTATCAGTTGCTGCAAGGCACTGGGACATTGGCCAAAGGTGCTGGAGATCTATTCACGAGCCCCATCCATCCTCCAGCATGAAGGGAATGGGCTCCCCTTGAGCCAGCTGGGTCACAGCAACCAACGGCAAGAAATAACTTGCAGGCTCCTCATCCCTGCCCATACAGCCCAAGTGCGAGTGGCTGCAGCAGGGAAAAGGTGGGCTGGGAAAGCAACAGCTTCCAAGGCTGTTTGCACAGCCTATTTGAGCCAAGAAACCCTCTAGCAAAGCCAAGTGCACGAGTGCAGAAGTGCCGAGGGGACTGCGATGACAGGGATGCAGAGGGAGCATCAGATGGCATAGGGGGGAAGATGTGACCAGCAGCCACTGTCCCCCTTGCATGGGGACATCAACTTCACCGCACGCCCTCCGAAAAGCCACCCGGTGACACCTGCGAAGGTGGCCCCTCGGAGGGGCCGAGGACGCAGGATGCAGCCTGCGCGGCTCCCGGGCAAGCCCGGACCAACCCGGCTCCTTCCCGCTGCTCCGTGGGCCCCAGCAGCAGCACCCGCAGTCAAGTCCAGGCACCTTCCCAGAGCCAGGGCAGAAACCCAGGAACACAAAGGGAACAAAAGGGGAAAATAAGAGGCAGAGCGTGTGCCCCAAAAGCGGGCATTTTCAGTGCAGACCAAGGAGGCAGAAGGGCGGCCCCCTCGTCTGAAGCAGATGGTAATTTGGGTTAATTAGCGGGGATGTTATAATCCACGTCACAGGACCGCAGCGCTCGCGAGTGGCACCGGCGCCCGGGAGCCTCCTCCCCAGCCTCGTCCTCCGCAGGGACGCGAGGCACCGGAGCGGTTACCTGAAGGGCAGCCCAGGCATCATTATACACAATTAAGACTTCTTTAGCCCTGACTCACTGGCTACAGCACGGGAGAAAAGGGAAGAGAGGAAAAAATATTAAGCTAGAACCTAATTCCAATTCCTAATTCCCGATAGCAGACTCGCTCTTTCACCACGGGCCCATAAAACACTGTATTAAGGGTGTTTTACAAGACTCCTGGCAGCTGGAGGGAAGCGGAGTGAGAACAGTGAGGGCTATTGAGGCAGATCCTTGCAGGAGTGGATTTTAAGTGCAGAACAAAACCAGAGAGTGGGAGGGTTTTCCAGGATGCTGTGGGGATCCCACAGGAAGGAATGGGACCACCTGTACCGGCACTTGGAGCGCTGCCAGGAAGATGCTTTAGGAAGTGTCGGCTTTGGTGTCATTAAGGATGTAGGAAAAGAGGGAAACACCAGAGCAGCCTCCTCGGGAGCAGAGCCAGCGCTCTCCGGCTGCAGGAAAAAGGGACACTGCGACATTTCAGCAGTCCTCGAGATTGGAACCGGTAGCATCTGCTCCGCTTGCATCTACACACACAGCTCTGCCAAAATCCCTCCCTGCAAACCACGGGTCACCCTCTCCCCTTGCTGCTGCTGCTCACCCTGTGCTGCTTCCAGAAACCAACTAATTTCTGGGAACTAGGAGCAGCTTTTCCCTGGGAATTAGCAGAGCAGCAAAGCTTCCAGCCCAGCTCCTTCCACCCTGGCTGGGGTGCCTTAAGAGCAGGCCCCGTTATTCCCCAAAACGTGGGCTCTATTGTTCAGAGCAGGATCCACATCCTTCCCAACACTTCCTATGGCACATATAGGATCCATGCTTGTCCTATTAATAGGAGTTCCTTCATAAGCATCAAATAGAATCAGAATAAGGCACATTTCTCCTCTGGGTTGCAACGCACTTATGTGCCTGCAGGTTTGGGGGTTAGTTGGAAGGAACAGGGCAGTAACACGGAGCCTGCACAGCCCTCGTGCACCCCATGGACCACCCAGCGCCAGCATCACTCGGTGTCCCGCGCGCTCCAGGCAGCTCCTGCCCCACACTCGGCCCTTGCATTTCCGCTCAGATAAAGAGGAACCCGACAGGAGATAACTCTGGTATTTGGAGGTATCCCCAGGGTCTACAGAAGTTATCTGAGCTGTTATAGTGAGGAAGGAAATATGTGTTTTCTCATGACCTGCAGTTATCAGTTTTGCACCTCAGCTGGTTCCAGTTCCACAAGGCACCAGCCAGAGCCCAAGGAGGGTTTCATGCTCAAAATGCCCTTTTGGAACCAGCTCCTGGGGCTGGGGGCTCCCTCTCCCCCAAACCAATATGCAGGTTGAACTAATCCTGCCCCCCAACGCTGGAAAAATCCACTGCTTTGAGGATCCTGGACACAGCAAAACTAATAAATGCTTCACTTGGCAGCAAAGTCAAGAGCATTATGCCCCCCCAAGCTCACAAGGTTGGGAGAGATGCTGATTTACATCCTTTTGGGCTCTGGAGACTCCAAATCCCATTTTGGAGCTTCATGGCACGTATATAGTGGGTTCTCAGAGGGGAGGAAAAAAAAAAGTTTGCATAGAGAAAATTCTTTACATAGTTAAATGGATTGAAGAATTGGATTTTTAAAAATGGTGTTTAAGAAAATCACTGAATATCACAGCAGGGCTGGGACAGGCAGCAAGATGCTGCAAGGAGAAGGGATGGGCACTTCAGTGGAAAGCAAGAGATAAGGGCTTTCCCTTTGCACCTTCTTTTGTGGGACTCTGCAGGAGAATCATTCCTTGGTTCTTGCCTCCAGGTGCTGTTATTCCACTAACGAGCTCAGAGAAAGCAGCACAAGAGCCTCATCTGGAGCCACGCACCTCAGGCAGCAAAGCCACCACCTGCAATCCAGGGTCCTCCCAACGCATTCCCGCTCCTCTGCGCTCCTTGGATTTGACGCATCCCTCCAAACGCAGGGGTGCTGAGCAAGCAAGTTCACCAACCACTTTTCCTAGACCCGAGTCTTATTCCCATGCAGTGAAATAAAGTCTGGATTTGATGCCGGAACCAGCAGACACTCTGCTACATCCTCAGGTGAGGATTTCTGCCTTGTCCCTGGCCACCTGCCATCCCGTTTGCTCTGACATCAGGTGGCCCACATCCATCCAGCCATATGCACCCCAAGCTGCTCACACCAGCTTATTAGTTTTCTATAGGGCACCCAGGACGTGCCAGACACTTTGCAAACAGAAGGAGGGTCTGCACCAGCCTGGAGGGTCTGTGATTTAATTTACAAGAGCAGGGTGCAGATTGTGCAAGGAGCAACGTGCTGGAAGCGAGCGCCAAGCAGCCGGCACCAGGTGGGCAGAAAGAAGCTTTTCAGCTGGTTTATTCGTCCGAGAAATTCTCCAAAACCCAGGGTAAAATGACCCTTCCTCTGCATCAAACCAGGCCCTGCTTTTCACTAATGCCAGCCAAGGGCCACAGCACTTTTTAAGCACAGGAAGACTATGAAAAGGGGGGAAAAAAATGCAAATTCACCACAAGTCCTGGCAAGCAGGACTCCTGTCCTTGCAAGGGTTAAGCACATTTTCTGACACCCAGGCAGATGGTATTTCAGGTCGCTCACTACTTTGCTGTCTCTCAGATTTTTTTTCTTTCATTTAAAAGACATAGCCAGAGGGCAGATTCACAGTTAAGTAATAGTTTGGGCTAGAGGTAGCCAAGACGCCCGTAAAGCAAGCCAGGAGGTACATTCAGCAGCTCTGAGCACCTTCCTGAGCGGCCTAAACCCTTCCCGAACAGAAAGTTGGGAGGCAGCCCTGCAGGACGGAAAGCAGGGAAATGCCCATAAA